ATCTACTAGGTGTAGGCAAGGAAGGTCTTTGACCTGAGTTTTTATTTTTCTGACAATGTCTGTATGAGTTTGTGTCCATGGTACTGGGTTCTTTTTAAGTCTCTGGTGCAGTAGTTTGCACATCTTGCTTAATCTTGGATAGAAGTCAATAATATAATTGAGTTTTATCAGTTATTCTATCTGAAAATTTGTCAGTAAATTTTATTGATCTTTTTATCGGGGTTATTGTACCCTGTGTGTTATAATGTCCTAAAAATCTGATCTTGGTTTGAAAGAGACTTGTTTTGGGTTTAGATACTACTAAGCCATTTTTGATGATTATATTGATAAATATTCTAAGGTGTTTAAAGTGTTTCTCTATGTTTTTTGAGAATACTAAAACATCATCTTTATAGACTATTGTAAATTGTGAATATGGAATCAAATGGGTCAACAGTATCGATCCCACCGACAAAACCAAATGAAATGTAAATGCAAATGAAATGAAAAATGAAAATGTAAAGGGATAGCCTATATAAATCCCTTCAAAACTCAGAATAGAGAAAGGGTTTTTCTCTTGGATAAGAAATATTTCCGGAAGATCATATTTCTCCCTGGAAAACTCTTGTATCCTAAATAAATAATTTTCTAAATCAAAATTCCAAATTTCCAACTTGCTTTTGCAATATTCCAATAAAATTTAAATTATATTTTCATATTTTGAGCATCTATCTCCGGAGTCGATTCCTGGTGCTGTTATATATATACATATATTGAAAAAATTCAAGTAGTTGAGGTAGACTAAAACTTTGAGGAGAATGAAAGCAATAATGAATAAGGCTAGGTTGGGCCAAGCTTGTTGACGCTCCATTTTAAAAAAGTCGAGGTTGAGCTTAACTTGATTCATCCATTAACTTTTATTTTATTATTACAATAATAAAGTATTCTTTTATATTGATATTTTTAAATGCAATTTAAAAGTAAAATTGAATAAAACTATATTATTAATTAATATAATAATTTAACAAAGTCAAACCAGACTCAAGTATAAAAATTCATGTCAAAATTGAGACATTATATATATTTAAGTATGCATCCATGCATACACACACACACATACACAAATGTATATTGAAAAAATTCAAGTAGTTGAGATAGACTAAAACTTTGAGGAGAATAATAAAAGCTCTTTTTCTTAAATGAAAGCAATAATGAATAAGGCTGGGTCAGGCCAAGCCTATCGAGCCTCCATTTTTAAAAGTCAAGCTCGAGCTTAACTCAATTCATCCATTAACTTTTATTTTATTATTAATATGATGAAATATCTTTTTATATTGATATTTTTAAATACAATTTAAAAGTAAATTGTATAAAAATATATTATTAATTAATACAATAATTGAACAATGTCAAACAAGACTCGAGCATAAAAATTCATGTCAAAATTGAGACATTATATATATATATATATATTTAAGTACACACACACATACACACATATATATACACAGTTAAAATATCTCATGCAAAGAGATAGGGTGGGTTTGGGCCTCCTCCACCTATCAAGCATGCATTTTAGGTTAAAAATGTGAGTTTGTGATAAGTGGTATTAGAGCAGATCCAAATCTTTATTAATGTGAGGCCTTCATTGGAGATGAATGGGTGGAGGTAGACCCAAACCAATGTAAAGGTCCTTCTCCTCTATGGGTAAAAAGCCAATGCAACAAGAATGTTGCACAGTTGGGTGAGGTATAATGTCACAAATCTCAGATTAGTAAAAAATGGGGTAAGTCTTGAGTATATAAGGATAAGCCTTCCTTTACCTATCAAGCATGTTTTTTAGGTTGGAAACATAGACCCGTGACACCTCATAGGTTCCTGTACTATGAGGTTTTCGTCAATTTAATTTCTTTACTTTAAGATTTTATGCAATCGAGTCCAATTTCACTATTCTTGTTGCTGTTGTCATGTTGACATGGCACTGACGTGTTAAACTTTGCTGATATAAGGATGTCGTGAGTGTGAATTGTTGACTTGGCAATGATGATGTGGTATTGACAAGTTAATCTAGCAAACCCAAAAAATCTTTTTTGAATTTTTTTTTGTGTTAACTCATAAGGACTAAATTAAATAAAAAGTTAAAGTACAAAATTAAATTTAACAACATTGTAGAGTGCAGAGACTAGATTGAACAAAGATCTATCATATAACAAATAAATTGGATACTTTTATTTATTTTTTTGTTTAGCATTAAACTTGTATAAGAAATGTAGTTTTACATATTAGAAATCATCTAAAAGATTAGTGAAAAGGTTGATCATCAACATATATGTAAGGATTCATTTTTTTATTATATACGTTCATGAATCCTCCATTAATGTAAGCTTTTGCTGGCCAGACTTAAACAATTTTATATCTTTCTCATAATTTGAAGTGCATTCGGCATAGCAACCGAGCTTGTCATGCTTTTCTTTGTTAGAAAATGACTTTGTTTCAAGCCCTTGAAATGGGTTTTGAGCTAAAGTCAACCTTGAATCAAGGATATGCAAAATCACAATATCAAAATTAATTTGCTATAAAAATTTGCCCTAAGATATAGTACATGTAAGGAGGCAACTATGTATATACACTCCATTATGAAATATTCTCCTGTAATTTCTGAAAAAGGTTTTCAATAATTTGAGAAGTTGGATGTTATCCATATATATGATCTTCATTTCATTTGAAGATTCATTGCAAAATAAAAATAAAATCAAGAAATAACAATTAGGATGATTTCAAATTTGTAGGTCAATTATGCCATTCTCTTTTTCATGCAAATTTACATAAATGTACTCTTATTGTCATTGTGTTCCAAAGTTTCACTACTAATTTATAAGGTTTTATTTTTTCTCTCTCCAAAATTAAGTTTTAGTAAGTGGTAAACTAAAGACTAAATTGCTTGGTGGATTCATGGGTTGGAAATCTTTCTTATCAATACAATTATCACCAATTTAGGGAAAATAATGCCACAAAAAATGTTGAGAATAAAGAGGAAGAGAAAGAAATAATATACAATTGAAGGCCAAAATCAAAGGTTCAAAATAGAATAGGGGTTTTGAAATACGAAGGTAGCCACAATCAAGTATTTCAAGTAGTAGAAATTTGAAATGTATAAAAAAAGAGTGTACAGCACTTTGGGTCGCAGAATAGATAAGAATGGAATAAAACAGTTATTCTATGAGAATAGAATAAGGTGGTAATAGAATAAAATAGTTATCATATAGTTTGGTATGACGAATAGAATATAGCAAGAATAGCTATTATGACTTATTGTATTGTTTGATTGGTGAGAATAGCTTTAAAATAAGAAAAGAATAGTGGATGAAAAGAAAAAATACCCTTTATTATATATGTTTATTTATTTTTATTTTATTTTATTTTTTAAATATTAATAATTTATTTTTTTTATAAAAATTAATAATTGATAATTTAAATATGAATATTTTATTATAATTTAATCATTAATATTAAAAACTATTAAGATATTATTTATAATTTAACTTTTATTAGGATTATTTGCTTTCATTTATTTCATTTTTAAATATTAATAATTTATAAATTATTCAAAATATCAATAACTAACAATTTAAATATTAATATTTTTATATTTTAGTCATTAATATTTTATTTATAATTTAAATATTAGTATGATTATTTATTTTATGTCATTTTAGTTTTTAATATTAATAATATATAATTTATTTAAAAAACTAAAAATTGATTATTTAAATATTAATATTTTATTTATAATTTAATCATTAATATTTTAAATTATTAATTATTTATTTACAAATATTGTATAGAAAGTTTACAGTTATATGAAAAGCATCCTTGATTGGTTTGTAAATAGTATTTATAAAGAAAAAAGAATGGGTTGGTGAAAGGAATTCCATTCATTTGCATTGCCTTCCACTCTTTTATTGTACGATAAGATCTCTATTTATTGTTAGCTTGTATTATAGAAAATAGGTCAAGCTTCTAATTTTAGGTAAAGATGGATCTCAACTTGTTTGTTCAGAAATTATTCTTTGTCTTGTATCTATAAAAGTTGAACTCAAGCAATATTTTGGATTGGTGATTCTTATGTTTTGTTTCTCTATTCATGTAAATCAACTACTTAATACAAGTACGTAAACATTAATATAACAATTACAAAAGGAAACTGTTGATCATAAACTCTTTTCTTTAAGCTTCCTCTTAGTCCTTAGCATTACCAGTATAAAAGATTATTTCTTGCAGTTGCAGCCATAAGTCCATTATGCAAATGTCTAACATTTCCACAATTGAAACAATCATTTATTAAAAAAAGCATGGAAAAAAAAAGAGAATGAAAGAGCCTCGTCTTACTATATATGACCTTCAGATGAGAATGCTATTACATCAAATCAAAAACCAAGTTCTAGTTTACAAAGATACACTGGCCTTGGAAATAATAGGTGAATATTCATCTTATTATACCAACTTACAGCATACATAAAACCAACAAGATAGCCACAATAACATCATCATTATAGAACCAGTAACACAATGGTAAGCTTAAAAAGGTTCATACTTGTCAATAAACCTCATAATTAGCATCAACATCAACCACAAGTGCCAAAAAGTTACAATATCAAGAACTTACCTTTGTAGAAAATTTCAGAGCTATCTAAGCTCAATGGTCAACAAGAAATGTCCTCAACCATTCAAGACTTCGATCAGGCGCAACACTGAAAAACACAAACATAAAAGTTGGAGATTTAGAAAGTTTGATTGAAGTAATAACCATTTCCATCATTGTCAATCCCTTTACCTGACTTAAAATCCTATCTAACTCTTGAACTTTTTGTTAGATTTTCACTTCAACCTTTACACTTTTGCTGAACTCAATTTCAAACTTTTTTATGTTTTCACCTAATATCATGATAGCAGTAATAATTGATTTAGATGTAATGGGATCACTTGCCTCATTTGCCCTTTTCCTTTTCCTTGCATAAGTAGTTTCACTTATAGAAGCTGATATGTTTGAGATTGAATATTGGAGAAATCTATTTCGGCAAACCCATATCTATTTAGGTTTTCACCTTCAGTTTCCTCATTTATTGTATCATTACATTCTTGCTTTTCTTCAAGAATATCTATTATAGTTTGCGCATCTTTTCCAGTTGCACGATCTCTAGCACAAATATCACTAAGCTCGTTGAAGGAGGGAAAACTATTTCTTCTAAAAGGAGTAGCATCTTTGTGACTTTAATAACAATAAAAAAGGTGACTATTAATTATATTATTATTAAGAAAATAACAAGGAAATTCTTAAACAAGTTCAAACCAAAAACTTACTTGTATGTAAGATTCCTATACAGAATTGTTAGCAATAACCATGTTCCTTTGATCATCCCATCTCAATCCATTGGTATATGTCCCTTGCAACATATCATATATAATAACCCATTCTTTTTTCAAAGTATTTATCCTAGACTCTATATGAGGTTTCGCATTCAAGTTTGCATTCGGTAATTTTGTTGCAAGCACATTTTCAAGTTTTATTAAATAATCCTCTTTGAAAGCATTCCTATATTAAGAAAAATCAATCAAAGTTTAAATAAGTGCAACATCTTCATAATAATTTCACTTTCTTTTGGTTCTTTTTAAATTTTGAGAAGTAAAGATTGAAGATGTAGATATTATTTTTCACCATACACTAAATATTTGATTATAAAAAATATTCTAGTACTAAAAAAATAAAAGATAAAGAGAATTATTCAATAATATATTAAAACTTGTCAAACTTTATTCACATGATAAAATGTACAACATAAACAATAACTAACAACAACAAATGAGAACACATTAAGACAGTAATAACAAATGAGAAAGAAGCACAACAACATGTAATGACAAAGGAAAAAAACTAAATAGTCCTTCAAATAACAATACGCCTAACAAAAGTCAATCTTCATTTTATTTAGATACTTGCCGTTTGTTAAACATTTGGTTTGCTAATTCCATTCTCCAATTATTCCAAATATCAATGGGATCAATAGCACATATTGAATCCTCCTCAACTGCTACGTTGCTTTGGATATATTCCTCTAAATCAACTTCGATAGGAGCAAAACTCATCACCTTCCTAATATAATTATGAAGTAAACAATAAGCTAGAATAATCCGATTATGTCTCCAAATCAGATAAAATAATAGACTCTTAAGGATATCCCACTTGATTTTTAACAACTCAAAACACTCTATATAACATTATGAGTAGTTGCATGTTTCATATTAAAAAATTCTTCAAGACTCCTTGGTTTATGACCTTGAAGCCATTCATTCAAATAATATCGTTGACCTCGTAAAGGTGCAAGAAAGCCCTCCCAATTTGTTTATCCTGCATCAATTAAATAATAACAACCTATATAAAAAAAAACTAGATAAGTTATTTATTTAGAATAATCATATAGTGCATAATTGAAATACCTTCCCATTGTCATAGGAAAGCTTACCATGAGGCACTTTAAGCCCATGTCTCCTCCTTAGTGCATCTAGAAAAACTCTTACATCAGCTACAGACCTTTCCCAACCAGGAAGAACAAAGACAAATTACATGTTAGGTGTACAAATTCCTAACATGTTTGTTGCAATATCCCCTTTACGAGTGCAATATCTAGGTTTATCTGCACTTGGCACCTTAACCCTGATGAATGTCACATTTATAGCACCTAAACAATTATACAAATCAAATGTAATGAATTATTATAAGTAAACCTATTGATGTCTTATATATATTGTTACAAAGGTAATAGGATCTATAATCTACCTTAAACCATTTCCACCGATTATTTGTAGATTTTGTTGGAAAGGGCTCAAGTTTTTTAAACAAATGTTTTTACAATTTTAGCATTGCATTTAAAATATTAGTGCCAACCAAGTGTCTCACCCAACCTTCTAAAATTTAAACCAATTAATCAATTCTTAACATAACGAGTAATAATTTGTAAGAATGTTGCTACTTGCTTATCTACAAGCATGCTCTTTATTGACTTCAACACTCTAATACTTTCTAACATTTCACATAATTTAAAAAAGGCTTATTAATTGATCCTAATTTGTAAAACACATGAAATATCATCATTACACAAGTCGCCTCACATACTCTCGATTTCCAATGAAATTAAGTGCATAAGGTTTAACTTTTGATCTATAAGTACATACAGTCAGCATTACAGACAACAGAGTCAAGAATGAACTAATAGCACGACACATCTCCATATAAAATTTAAACATAGCTAATAGCCTTTGTTACCTTCTAGCATCTCTTTTTAAACACAAACGAACTATGATTGCAAAAAAGTAAATATTCTAATCTATTTTATTGCATACAAAACGTATTGAAAACATATGGCATATAAAAAGTAAGAAAATAAAAGGCAAAGAACAGTTAGTCTTCAAACAAGTTAATTAAAATTCTTTTTCCTTTCCTAAGATTGAGATGTTGACCGAAATGTACTCTTATAAAGGGAAACTTTGTAAAAGCAAAATTGCTTTACAATTATAATTGCATTTACCATACGGGGTTTTTCTGTTTTGTGCTTAAGTGATTAGGTTTTGATCAAGGGTGATTGGGAGCTTAGTTCTCAAATCATTTTCTTTTTTGCTTAATTGTTAACGCACCTAGGAAAATGAATAGAAACAAAAACACCCGAACAATAAAAAAAAACATACAAATGTGGTATGGAATTACAATACAAATTAGTATAAAAAAATGATAATTTACACCTTATATTTTCAAATCAAATAGCATCATCTTCAAATCTACAACAAGGTGCTAGTTGCAATGGTTATGGAAGGCATAGCCGCATAAAGTTTTATGAAGGAGGAATGGTAAAAATAACTTTGGAATAAGAAAGGAATGGATGATGAAAAGACAAAAATATCTTTTGCTATATATATGATTATTTATTTTTATTTTTAAATATTAATATTATATAATTTATTTAAAAAATTATGAATTGATAATTTAAATAGTAGTATTTTATTTATAATTTAAAATTATTATGTTTATTTATTTTTTTTATTTTTTAAGTATTAATAATTTATAATCTATCTAAAATATTAACAATTGATAATTTAAATATTAATATTTTAAATATAATTTAATCATTAATATTTTAAAATATTAATATTTTATTTACAATTATTATATGGAAAGCATCCTTGATTCGTTTTGTAAATAGTATTTATAAAGATAAAAGAATGGGGTAGTGAAAGAATTTCCATTCATTTGCATTGCCTTTGCTCTTTTACTGTGCAATAGATTCTTTATTTCTTATTAACTTGTATTATAGGTAGTAGGTCAAGCTTCTAATTTTAGGCAAAAATGGTCCTTAACCTGTTTGTTCAGAGATTATTCTTTATCTTATATCTATAAAAGTTGAACTTAAGTCATATTTTGGATTGGTGATTCTTATATTCTGTTTCTTTGTTCATGTAAATCAACTATTCAATACAGGTATGTAAACATCAATATAAGAACAATTGCATGAGGAAACTGTTGGTCATAAGCTCGCCTCTTTAGGTTTCCTCTTTGCCTTTAACATTACCAATATAAAAGATTATTTCCAGCAATTGCAACCATAAGTTCAGTATACAAATGTCTAACATTTCCACAACTGAAACAATAACATATTAAAAAAGCATGGAAAGAAAGAGAGAATGAAAAAGCATCTTTACTATAAATGCCCTTCAGATGAGAATGTTATTACATCAAATCAAAAGTCATGTTCTAGCCTTAAAAGTAATGAATGAATATTCATCCTATTACATCAATTTATAGCATGCATAAAACTAATAAGGTAGCGACAATAACATTATCATTATACAACCAGCGACACAACAGTAAACTCAAAAAGGTTCATACTTGTCAATGAACCTCATAATTAGCATCAACATCAACCACAAGTGTTAAAAAGTTACAATATCATGAGCTTACCTTCACAAAAAGTTTTAGGTTGTGTTTGGTATGAGGGAAGTGGAAGCATATTCCCTACAATATGTCCAATTAAATTATATTGCAGTGTTTGTTTTGTAACAGACCATTGCAATGTAAGATTGCAATGCAATCACATTACAGCTAAGGGTTGTAATGTGATTGCAGTCCAAAACCAATGCAATCACATTACATTACACTCTATAATATTCTTAAAGATAATTTTACCTTTCAACTTTATTACCTTATTAAAAATATTTTATAATGTTATAATTAAAATAAAAAATATTAAAATAAAATATATAATATAAGAATAAAAAATTAAAATAAAATAAAATATAAAAAATTAACATTTATATAATATAGGTAAAACAAATTGAAATAAAATATATAATATAAAAAATATATTAAAGAAATGAAAATAAAATATATAAGATTATAATAATAAATGAAAATAAAATATATGATATTAAAAATATATTTAAGATATGATATTATATAAAAATTAATAATATAAATATAAATATATTAAAAATAAAATATAAAATATTATAATAATAAATAAAAATAAAATATATGACATTAAAAATATATTTAAGAAATTATATTATATAAAAATTAATAATAAAAAATATAAATATATTAAACTTGTATTTTAATAATTAAGGGTAATTTTGAAAATTAATATTACATTCCTAGTAAAGTATTTGTAAACCAAACACTGCAATGTTATCTTTCCTGCATTTTAATCATTATTTTACTTGTATACCAAACACTATAATGTTATTTTCCCTGCAATCACATTACTTGCAATCACATTACCTGTAATTACATTGCATTGTAATGTACCAAACGCCACCTTAGAGTTATCCAAGCTCAATGGTTAATAAGCAATGTCCTCAACCATTCAAGTCTTTGATTAAGTACAATATTGAAAAACACAAACATAAGAGTAAGAGATTTAGGAAGTTTGATTGAAGTAAGAACCCTTTCTATCGTTGTCAATCTCTTTACTTGACTTAAAATCCCATCCAACTCTTGAGCTTTTTGTTGGATGTTCACTTCAATCTCAACATTGTTGCTAAACTCCATTCATGCCTCTTTTATATTTTCACTCAATATCATGGCAACAGTAATAATTGATTCAGATGTAATGGGGTCACTCATCTCATTTGTCCTTTTCCTCTTCCTTGCTAAAGTGGCTTCACTTCTAGGAGCTGATGTTTGAGGTTGAATATTGGAAAAATCTACTTTGTTGAAATCATATCTAGCTAGGTTTTCATCTTCAATTTCCTCATTTATTATATCATTACATTCCTGCATTTTTTTAAAGATTCCTATTTCAGTTTGTGCATCTTTTCCAGTTGCATGAACTTTAGCATAAATTTCACTAAGCTCGTTGAAGAAGGGAAAACTCTTTCTTTTAAAAGGGGTAGCATCTTTGTGACTCTAAAAACAATAAAAAGTGACTATTAATTATATTATTATTAAGAAATAAAAAGAAAATGCTTAAACAAATTCAAACCAAAAACTTACTTTTATGTAAGATTCCTATACAAGATCATCAGCAACAACCATATTCCTTTGATCATCCCACCCAAATCCTTTAGTATGTGTCCTTTGTATCATATCATATATAACAACCTATTCTTTTTTCAAAATATTTATCTTAGAATCTATATGGGGTTTCACCTTCAAGTTTGCATTTGGTAATTTTGTTGTAAGCATATTTTCAAGTTTTATTAAATAACCTCCGCTGAAACCAGTATCAGCATTGTATTTTCATGTATTGTGCAAATCAATCAAAGTTGATATGAGTACAACGTCTTCATGATAACTCCACTTTCTTTTGGTTCCTTTTGAATTTTGAGAAGTAAAGGCTAAAGATGTAGATATTGTTTTCTATCATCTACCAAGTAGTAGATTATAAAAAAAAAAAATTATAGTGCTAAAAAATAAAAGATAAAGAGAATTATTCAATAATATATTAAAACTTGTCAGATTTTATTCACATAATAAAAAGTATAATTTAAAAAACAACTACAACAACAAATGAGAAAACATTAAGTTATTAATAGCAAATGAGAAATGAGCACAACAACTTGTAATGACAAAAGAAAAAAACTAAAACAGTCCTTCAAATAACAATACGCCTAACAAATATCAATCCTCATTTTGCCTAGATGCTTGCCATATATTAAACATTTGATTTGCTAATTTATTGTCCAATAACTCCAAATATCAATAAGACCACCAAATATCAATAGGATCAATAGTACTTATTGAATCCTCCTCAATTACTGCATTGGTTTGAATATATTTCTCTAAATCAACTTCAATAGGATTAAAACCTATCTCCCTCCTAATAAAATTATAAAGCAAACAACAAACTATAATAATCTGATTATGTATCTAAACCAAATAAAATGATGGCTTTCTAAGGATACCCCACCATATTTTTAATAACCCAAAACACCTTTCTATAACATTATATACAATTATATGTTTCATATTAAAAAAATTTTCAAGATTGCTTGGTTCATGGCCTTGATGCCATTCATTCAAATGATATCGTTGACCCTTAAAAGGTGCAAGAAAGCCCTCATAATTTGTATAGCATGAATCTACTAGGTAATAGCAACCTATATAAAGAAAACTAAATAAGTTATTTATTTAGAATAATCATATGGTACATAATTTGAAATACCTTCCTATTATCATAGGAAAGCTTACCATAAGGCACTTTAAGTCAATTTCTCTTCCTTAATGCATCTTGAAGAACTCTTCCGTTATCCACAGATCTTTCCTAACTAAGAAGAACAAAGACAAATTACATGTTAGGTGTACGTACACCTAACATATTTGTTGCAATATCTTTTATACGAGTGCAATATCTAGGTTTGTTTGCATTTGGCACTTTAGCCCTAATGTATGTCCCATCTAGAGCACCTAAACAATTCTACAAATAAAATGTAATGAATTATTATAAGTAAACCTATTGATGTCTTGTATATATAGTTACAAAAGTAATATGATCTATAATCTACCTTAAGTCACTTCCATCGATTGTCTGGAGAATTTGTTAGAATAGGCTTAAGTTTTCTAAGTAAATGTTCTTATAATTTTAGCAATGCATTTAAAACATTATGAAAGTGCTGACTAATTGTCTCACTTGACCTTCTAAAATTTAAACCAATTACTCGATTCTTAACATAATGAGCAATAATATATAACAATATTACTACTTGCTCATCTACAAGCATATTCTTTGTTGACTTCAACCCTCCAATACTTTCTAACATTTGCAACATGCCTTTTAACAAAATCAGGTATAACCTTCACAACATGCCTTTTACTAGGATTAGACGTAACCTTTACCAAGATATTGTTTTTTTTCAGGTTAAAGCACAACGTTTACACAAGATATGATTTTTTAAAAGATCAAGTAAAACCCCTCAACCTTTTGCTTGGAGGTATAACCAATACAATAATAGATTTTAAAGAATCTATAACTTAAAACCTTTAATAGGGTTGGTAATGAAGTTTAGGTTTAGAAAGATGAGAGCTTTCTCAAGAGATAGGAATGATTAAGGAAGGTTTAAGCTTGATAGGTATCAATTGAAGGATAGAAATGTGATCTTTAAATTTAGCTTTTTCTCAAAGATAGGATTTTTCTGCTCACAGCTCTTTTGATTGTTTTGTTCTTTTTCTCTTCAAAGATGATTCAAAATCATTAAAGTTTTTGCTTTAACGTTCTCAAGATAGATATATAAAGGCTTTGTGATTTCTTGCCTGTTAGAGTCAAATTTGAATTCACTTTTGTACGTTTCAGCTAACTTGCACATTTTTGTCACATTTAGAGAATCGATTCTTTATTCTTAAGTTGTCGGTTCTTCATAAAGTTTGGAAATTTCTATCTCTAAAGAATTGATTCTTCTATTTTGAGATGTCGATTCTTCTACAACTGAATTCAAAGGAGACACCTTTGTATTCTTGGAGAATTGATTTTTCTGTCTCAATGTGTTGATTCTTCACTATCTAACATTAAAATTTGAATTTAAGCTTGACTTTTTGGGCTCCAACTTATCCAATTGTACCATCTCTTTCACAATCACCAAGTTTCTAATCTTTGCTTTTGATGCTTCAAGAATTGATATCTTCTCCATGTAGAATCGATTATTTATCTTTATACTTGTGCTTTTTGGTTCGTTCTTCACCTAGAACTAACTTTTTCTTCTTAGAGAATCGATTCTTTCTTCTTCACATTTTTGCATTCTATTTTCCTAGAATCGATTCTTGCTCTCGAAAGTGTCAGTTCTTCATAAATCTTGAAGCTTCTGCCTTTCAAAAATGACCTCTTCTCTTCTCAAAATCAATTCTTTACTATTGATATTTGCTTAACAATTGACTTCTCAATCTTCAGAATTGATTCTTCTTGTGATAAAGAAATAAATTTTGCTTTCTTCTCACTTAAGAATAAAGTCTTTTCATTTTAGAATTTGATTCTTAAATTGATACTTTGAACTTGAGTTATTAAAAAAATAATTTTTTTTGCATAAAAACTTTCAAAGCTCCTTAGCATGTCTAAGAGCATACCTTTTAAGTTCATCAACATTTTCAAAGCATTTTCAATTCATCTCTCTTTAAGATCAACTTTAAAAACATTTACGAAGATTTTCTTCATTTTTAAAAACATCTTTCATTAATATTTAAAGTATATTTAATTCAATTAATTTTATCATTTTAAAATAAAAATAAAACTAACAAATTGTTTTAAGTTCGAATCAAGATGATTCAGAGTCGTTAACTGTCTCAACTTAAATTGGGTTAGGCTCACACAAGTTGAAGAAAATTTTCTAGTTGGGATGAGTTTTGCCAACTCTAATTTAATGAAAATAGAATCAATTGAAATAAAATTTAAAAATATAATAAAGCTCGATTCCCTTATATGCATTAATTTATATAAGCAATATAAAAGAAAGTATAAAGAGAGAGGTGAATTATTTAATTAATGCAATGAAAGAACAAACTCCGGCCTTAAATATATTGCAAAAAAAATTGGATACACAGATGTGAAGCCCCTGCGCAGGGACAGGGCCCAAAAAGCATTCACCAACCTACCCAACTTGCTCAGTCCCACTGTAATATCATTACAATAAACATCAATTGAATTTCTTTACAATGGAATCTCCTGCCTCGGCAGTGGAGGGACCAAGCAAAGTACCTAATTTAGTTATATGTTGAAGGCCGGGGCTTGGGTGGGATGTAATATGAGTTACCGCAATCGATCGGAGTATGCATCAGAGGATTCCATCTATCAAATACTATTCGGCCCCCACGGCCCATCCTTCCATGAAATTTATAGGGTGGTGTAGATGCACCGTTTTTTGTTGTTGAAGTATCAGATGGGGGTACAATGCCAGCAGCTGCCAGCTTATCTGGAACAAGAGGTTTTGTGAACAACAAAACTGGCTCAATAGGATCCTGCATTAACCATATGAAAGAAAAAAGGACTCAAATGTGAGACCATAATTTAAACAAGTTGAATCCACGGTTATTCAAAAATACAAGGCTAAAGTAAAGCCACCATTCTTCCCGAAATTGCTTGCTGGCATTGCAACAAAAGTGCAAGCCAGATTATACAACGCATACCAGTTTATGGAGCCATCCATGCAGCATATGTCGACGACGAAACTCTTGCTTAATGTTTCCAGCAGGAACCATGGCCACATTAGAGTCTGCTAGAGGTGGATTCTGAACTGCAGCAGGTCGTGTACGTGGACGGCTGTTTGCAAGGTCATCTGAGTCCATAAACTCATCTTCACTTGAACCAAACTTGCCAGATATTGGTGCAAAACCAGGAAGTGTAATATCTTCAAGGAGCTCAGTTTCATACTGAAATTTCATCAGCAGCCATGCATCATATTAATTTCATTTTCTATAGCTAATTAAAATTCATTCAAAGAAAATATGTAAAACCAACAATATGTACAGAGGTATTTGTAGTAGAAAAGGCACAGATCATTCTTTTAAACATGGTAAAAACATCAAGAGTTAAAAGATCACTCATCAAGAGAGCTATTCAATGAGAGAAATGACATTTTGCAGAAGATGTTTAACACTAAAAACAGAAATTTCTTTCCAAAGCCCTACTGCCTAGAGCATAGGAGACTACTTGTGCCCTGCTATAACCATGAATATGCCCACAAGGGCTCAACATCATCAGGCAGATTATTACAATTTCCTCCTAATCTAATTTTGTTTTCCCTCTTTGTACATTAAAGCAGAGGTTTAGGATGGCAATGTTGGCATGCACCCAAAATACACTTGACCTTTTAAATAGTCCATTCACCATCAGCTATAGCTTTAAATGCTCTCGATTAGGTTATAGATAAATAAAACGCAGGCATCATACATACGAACTTCTATATACTCCATTACCATCAGCTATAGCTTTAAATGCTCTCTATAGGTTAAAGATAATTAAACTCAGGCATCCCTGGAAACTATAAGTAACATGTACCTTGTACTTCATTTGGATCCTCCGAAGGCTAACTTCACTCTCCATAACATCTCTTTTCTTCTCTTCTCTCTGCATTTAAACACAACCCAAAGCAATATGAATTCAGGTGCATATATGCATAATATAAGTCTCTATTAGCAGTCAAATATGCTTGAAATTGAAGGGGTAAAAGCACCTTAATCAAAGCCTCAAGTAAGGTTTTGGCTTGGTCTAGATTGCGTCTGACCTGAGAGAAGTCAATGACAAAAAAAGAAAAAATTAATTTGATAACCAATGAGAAATATTGTGACAATGTTAGTAAAATATTACAAGTACATGACAAATAGTTGGAAAAGGGCATATTTAGAGTTCAAAACAGTATTAAAATAAATATTTTGTGACATTAGGCTCTTTAATAGACTTAATCATATCTCTATAACAAATTGCTCATACACAGAATCATATTCAAGAGAAGAAAAGCTGATAAAACAAAATAAATGCAGCAAACTCATAAACAAGAAGTCTCAAAATGCTACGTCATCAATTTGTTAGTTTTCCACATTGCTCTTAATTGTCTACCCCAAAATTGGCTAGGTTGCCCAAAAGGTAGCCTATTGGCTGCTCCCTGTATCCCACCAGCCTCTCACAGCCTCAGCACCTGCCTCACACACATCCATCATGAACCAACCATGCACCATTTGCACTTTTGTTCACTTTAATATTATGCCACTCAATTCAGAGCATGCAAAATGCTAGTGAAACCATCATTACCACCTGTTCCACCACCCCACCTCCAGAAAAGAAATGAAGATAAAAGGAAAAGAAACAGATTATAAATGCAACTTGTTCAGATATGAGTTAGGGGACCATTCAGTTAAAAAGCAGGCTAAGAATTCACAGAAGACAAGCCCCACAAGTCCACTTTTTTCAGTGCCGCAACAAGCAAATATTTTAGAAAGATAACAGAGACATCTTGGTGCCAATGTTTAACGACTCAAGCCTCCTTTGACTTAAGTTAGACATAAAAAATAATCAACACTAATCTTTCAATCATCCTTTATATGCGTTTATGAGAACAGAAACATCCATCTGTAATTTTCATACCCACAGCCTAGTTCTCAGCTTCATACACAATTACAGATGAATGTTTTCCCTGCACATACTAGTCGGGTGATGCAAGTTCTGAGCACAGGGCAATCACCCTCCTGATCATGAAAGTACTGTTCCATATTAAGTTCATGAGTGTACAATGAAATTAAGAGTAGTTGTGCTCACCTGGCGAAGCTTTTCAAATGACTGCACATTGTTTTCCCTCCTTTGCATCTACATGAATAAAGCATGACTTCAAGTACTTAATAAAAACCTTTACTAAGGGTTTACAAGTGAAGTCAGACACTAACCCTTCTCGTGTGAAGTCGGTGAGCTTTCTCCCTGGGCCTAAAGACATTATAGGGGTTGTTATCGTTAACTGGAGGAGGAGGCTGCACAACAAGGGAAAAGAATTTAAATGCTGCTGTCATTAACTGATCTGTAATGTGTGGTCGAAGCAAATTAATTCAAGCAAGTATTAAAATGAAGAAAAGATCATGGCACACGTAAAACACAGGCAATAATAGCTGACCCTTATAAATAGCCAACTTGCCCCAAAAAATTATGTTAATACATGATTTAAGAAGAAAGAAGGCTAGCAAGCCGCAAAAAAATTTAATGATTGTTATAGACAATTAAAAACAAATGATAAAATTGGCAGCAGTTACTTCTGATTATTTCCTACACTTTTCACTTCTTAAAGGGGTGGTCTTGTGCTAGTGAATTGACAAGGTCTGGTATGAAACGTGTGACATCCAAAAATGGAATGAAAAGATAAAGATTCAAAAACACCTACACATCAAATACATGTGGTAATATCTCAACAATGAATATATCTATTTTTTGGTACATAGAACGATTATTCCACATATGATAAAGTGATAACACTAACCTGTAAACGCCGTAAAATAGGCTTCTGCCACCGTTCACGCTGGAAAAAAGGAAAAGGATAGAAACACATAAATATCCATGTTATAATATCGAGACAAATTTAAGAAGTTCGTAAGTATATGGCAAGTGAATAGAGTAGGATAATAATTCAAGCTATTTAATAGTCACATTTTGTATAGACTTGCAGCAGTCCAAATTATTTTGCAGCATGTCAAGGACTTTGCACCACATCATCCATCAGAATACAGGCAACATCTCTAGTGAAATCAACAGTAAGCAACATTGCTTGCCAATCCAAATTTAATTAATTATTTAGAATCATAAGTCTGAGCACTATGAAAACCCCCCAATTTTCGACTTCTCCCTTTACAAAGATTGTGAATCTCTAACAAGTCCACAATACGCCTAGCTGTGATATTCGTTCCATACCTTTTCTTTCCAATAGTTATAAACCGACTGGAAGACTCCATATTTGATGGACTGAGATTGCAAAGCCTAGCAATTAAAGAAAACCAGGAAAAATTAAACTAAACACAAGCACATGCATCACCATCAAATGATTTGGCAAATTAGTATTCTGAATAAAATATCAAAATGATAAATTAATAATGAACATGTTATCAAACAAGATTTAGAGTTCGGAGGTACAAGGATAAATGTTTAACATCTTGAGCGCAATTATGTCTCTTCAATAAGATTTAGTATTTGGAGGTAGAAGGATAAATGTTTAATATCTTGCGTCAAAGTTCTTAAAACATGCTCCATAGAGCAAATGTCAAATAGAGAAAGAAATAAACAGACAAAAATTGCCAAAAAACAAACCAAAAATAGACTCTTAGGCTTCACATCAGTTGGTTGTGAAACTAATAGAATAAGTGAACAAGTAGTGGTCAACAGTATCAACCATCAGAGCATCAAAGGGCTGTTACATTTAATACGAGAATCATAAATGAGTGATTTTACACTTATAAAATGGAAATTTTTTGAATGATCATTGATTAACTGATAGTTATATGACCATTTTATTTTGAAGGAAACTCCAAATGTCAAAAATTAGAATAACCCATGGTGTATGACATGAGCATAGATATGGATGCATGACAAAAACTATCAAATTGGTGAGCACCTGCATAATCAAAACAAACATTCACCTCAATAGCAGCATCCATTGTCAAAAGCACAGGAATTGGTGAAACAAGAGTTGGTGTTATAACTCCTGCTCTTTCCCGAGCTTTATGATCCAACACCTCCAACTTAAAAAGAAGACTCTCCAGCCTGCATCAGCAAGCACAACTGCAGAATTAAATTAAACACAAGGTAGATATGCAACTGAATCACACTTGCACTAAGTTACACTTGTGCCAAAAGATAACATTTTGGGTGGATACCCATAATCCCATGAGTATATTTGCCCCTGGACTGGGTTTATTATCCACCTTGTATAGCACTACCGTTTTTGAAAAAAAAATAAGGTAGGATATGGGCTCTAGTTGGCTAAAAGAAGTTATACTTGCTTCCAGTAAGTAATAGCCCATATATGATTAAAGAGACTAAAATAAAGATGACACCATCAAAATGAGCATGCATGCTTATGGAGCTGATAGACCTTTCTAGTTGATTAAATGCTTCCAGCAGGTGAAAAAGCCACATATGATACAAAATCTAGAAGCATGAAACTAAAAGAATGCCACTTCTGAAAGTGTCAAGGAAGCCTTGGAATCATTTATAAAATAGTATACCTCCTACTTAAAATGAATATTAGAGCAGAACTCAGACTCTTTACAAAGTTTAAATTGCAAAAAATAAATTCTGAGCACTTCTGCAGTGTGTCATAGCTTGTCAGAAATAAGACAACTTGAGGAAACCAGCTTCTCAAAATGCAGTTTAGAGCTATACAACAGTCCAGATGACTTCTCAGCTCCCAATGATCATCAAACTCAAAGGCAAATAAAGAGTAAAAAGAGAGTTAATTCAAAAATCTTAACAGAAAGTTTCAGGTGAATAACTGAAAAAAAAAACAGAAATTTTTTTAATGAAAAATTTATTACTCAAACACAATCAACTGAACAGCATAAATGCAACAGTGATATCAAAATTTCTGTAATTACTTTTCAGATGCAAGAATCTTCTTATCTTTGTTGTACCCTTGAAGCCAATCTTCATCCTCATTATCTAGATCGTACTCAACAAACTCTCCAATCTCAGCCCGGGCTACAGATAATGAACAGACTTTCAGAATGCTAACATCAATTAGAATATCACTAGAAAAGAACCATCCAGACCAGCTTTCAAGTATCCGCAAAGGAATCTTTCTGATTTCACAAACCTCCCCTTGCACGTAGATAGGATGTTGGTTGAAAGAATGTGCGAGAATAATCTCTTTCATATGTATCCACAACAACAAACTGAGGTGTAGGTATTTCGGGAGCATGTTTCTTGGTAGGGGTTTGCTGTACCTAAACAACAATTATATCTATTTATATAAGCAAATATTATACTATCACAAAGGGCATGTAAGAACACTAACAACTATGAAACTATAGAGACACTACTGTTAGAAAAAGTAAAATTCATCTTTTAAAATTTAGAAGTCTGCTGATTAGCATAGTGTTTTTAAAAATGACCAAAAATCAGTTGTTTATGCCTACCCTTTTGGTCGGTTGAAAAACGAGAATCATTCAGCAAAACAAGTTATGTACCCAAGTCCTCTGGGACAGATAAAGGCACTTTTTTGCACTACAATTTATTCATATAGTTATTCTAATTCCATAGTATGTGCAGGCATTCCTACAAACCATACATCTACATATCAACAACCAAATTCCTTAACTCCGTTGATTGATGTTTTTGTTACTTGTCTTTCACTTCCGGAAGCAAAAGAGCAAAAAGCATGTTTGGATAGAAAAGCAAATAGCATTATTGAAAGACTACAGATAAAAACCTATAATCTTTTACATAACAAAATGCATGATTCTAATCCTATTTAAACTAATTGAGTTAGAATTTGTGTCTATATTTTAATTATTTATCCATTTTTTAAATCAATTACGACTTTGTTCTCCGCATTTTGCTTTTGTTTTGTAACAACTTTTCAAGAAGCAAAAAGCAAGCAAGAAAGGTATCAACCAAAGGAAGCCTTAAAATATGACACTACCTCATATCAAAGTTCCTGACAGAAAATAGCCCCCCAACTGTTCTAAAGCTCTATTCTTGGAAAATAAATAATTTAAAACCAAAATGCATGATTTTGCTTTACTTTAAGATTAAAGATTGGCGTAATTTCGAGCTACCAGAGCTAGTGATCACAAACAGTAACATATATATAAAAGACTAGTAATGAAGAAGAAAGTTTCTGAACTTAAAAAGCAAAGTGAAGTCAAAAGGAGTGAAAATGGTACCTCGTTATCTACCTCGGCAGAAGCAAGGCGGAGCATTTGAGAGTTACGAGTAGCGGAAGTAGGAATCTCATCGTCTTCGAAGTCTTTTACTGACTTAACAATCGGTAGCTTCTTGTGTATGTCCAATGGGCGTGGCCTAAACGATAGCCTACTCATTTTTTCTCTCCCCACTCAGCTCTCTCAATCAACTCACTCATCCCACATCGAAACCAACAAACTAGAAAAGAAACAAGAAAAGCAAAATGCAAAGGCAAAATCAACTTAATTATTCAAATTCAATTTTTTTTAAAACAAAAAAGGGAAAAAGTTTGCATGCATAGGTTCATAGTGAAATTAAACGAAACCGTTGGGAGCGGAATGATTGGAAATAACGGAATTGGATAACGAAGATTGAAAATTGGGGAAGCAGGAGATTTCTAGGGTTCGGTTGTCTGCAGTAAGAGATAGAAAATATAAATAGTAAGGGAAGAGGAAAGAATTTGGAGTGGAGAAGAGAAGAGAATCGAGATTTGGGAATTTTTTTAGGGTTCGAATTGGAAAGTAAATGGCCCTAGCTAGGGTTTACCAATTTGTTTGAAGGTGACGATAACGGGGGAAAAAGAAAGCTGATGGGTTTCAAGGGAAAGGTGGGAGAGGGAGATGGTTCGAATTGCGGCAGGTTTTCATTGGGCCATTCACTGTTTCCATTAATGGCCCTTGCCCACTAGCCCATATTATTCCCAGCCTAGTACTCATTCACCAAGTCAAAAGGGCGCGGCAAGTAATTTTTTTTATTTTTTAATTTATTTCATTTGAATTTCTATTTTGATTTTATTTTTTTCAGGGAAATAGTATCCAGTATCACACCATAAAATATGATAACAAATTTTTTAAATTAATTATAAATAATATTATACATCTTAAAATATTGCATAAATGGTAACGATGATTATTTTTTAATTTAAACTCAGCATATTCCTTAATAATATATTTTTAAATAAAATATACATCTTTCCTGTTAATTTATTAATTAAAAATTTAAAAACACTTAACATGTTCAAGTAAAAAGGAGAATTCAATTTTTCTTCTAGTATTTTTTTGTTTAAAGTCTAATAAAACCCACAAAAAATAATTTTTCCAGTTTCAACTAAAAATAAAAAATAAAAAATACATTTTTAGTATCTGGTAAAGATTAAGTTTATAAAAGGCGTATTGATCTTGTTATACTTTGCACCCGTATCACATATCATACAATATATTTGGGATATTGGATTAATTCCACACACAAAAAAATTATATTTATTTGGTTATGATTTCTTTTAATGTAATTTTTTTGCTAAATTATGCAATTAATCTTAGTAATTTAATAAAGTTTTGGATTTAGTGTATGGGCAATAATTTGTAAAAATTAAATCTTTATATTTTTTAAAATAGATAATGTCAATCTAATTATTAATAATATTAAATTTTTTTTATTATTTATGTTAACATGACATTTTCTTGCTACTGTGACATTAAACATAATGATCTTTCCTAAATCTTAAAAACCTGTTTATAATTTTGATTCGTTTTTTTTCTAATCCGATTTAAAACTACTAGCTCACACTAGATAATTCCATGTCCACACTTATAAAATCCATGTTAGTATCCACACAAAATGCATAAGAGAAGAAGAGAAAAAAAGCTTAAATTCAAAACCTTCATTCAAATTAATTTTAAAATAGACAAATAGGACACCTTTTGGTTGATATTTTCACTATTTAGTTTTTGTTTATTCTATAAAAAATAAATAAAGAGCAAAAGATAAAAAAATAAAATGCAAATCCGTTGGCTGAAAAATCAATGATAAAAAATAGAAGCTTTCCCTATACCCTAAACCCAAAAGATAGAAACCCACTTCTACATCCAGGCTACACCTTTGTCTCAAAGACATCTAGTAAATTTAACACATTCATAAATTATCTATTTCACATTCTCAGGCTCATATATTCTTGATCTCATCGTACAAAAAAAGAGGCATGCTTCTGACTACCAGTAAAGACTGTTAGAAAAATACAAAAGATTATCAGATTGTTATAATATGATTTACCCGCTAGAACTTCAAGGTGAAATGCTTTCTGGCATGGTATGCCTAGTGTATAATGTAGAAACTCAGTAAGGCAGCATATTTCGATGTTTAATACCAGCATCATTTGTCAATCCAATCCTTGAACAACAACATCATGTAGAGAGGGATATTCACCGCAGCAATGAGTGTAAGCATTCGGAAGGTACGAACCAATCTCTGTATTATGATCTTTGCCTTTGATTTGCTTGCTCTAGATGGTATTTTTTTTGGATCAAGCTCGGCATTTGCATTGGTTTCCACACTCAAACAGACCTCTGTCTCCTGATTAAAATTTTTTTTGGCAGTTGGTCTCATCACAGCATTACCCCTGCAACAAGGGAAAAAAAAAAGGGAAAATGAACCAGAAAGAATTAATTTCTGCAAATATAGATGCCAAAGAGGAATTCAGTAAATTTAAGGCTACCAACAAAAAACATGAGGAGAACATATAATTAATCAAATATAAACAGATTATACAAATACTACAGTCTTCAAGTAAAAGCCACAGTTTTTAGTGGAACTGATAATTATGGAAATATTGAGCTGAAGCACCTCTCTACCGAGCCCTTATCACTTGTACGTGCCACAGGTTTGGCTAAAAGCTTTTTAACAAGATGCATTGATCCATCTGCACCCCAAACCATCTCATACTCACAATTCTCATCTTCATTTTTCTCTTTTGTCCCATCTCTAAAGATGCTTAAACTCATTGATTTTCTGACACATTCCATCAGATCACCAAAATAATGACAAAAGCTCAAACCACTTGTTGGCCACAAAAGGAGAGCCAGAATGGTCAGAACAAATTGTACAAGATACCTGACAATTGAGATTTTCAACAAATGGTTATTCAGACCAGTATAAAAGCACATAAGTGGAAACTACACCATTATTCCCTACAGAATAGTTACCATATGTAAATGTGCGTTTGCATTGGAAGAAAGCACAGATGAGTAAGTACAGCCTTTTCTGGCCATGATGCGTCTGGAAGTGAAGAGTTACTAGCAGATAATAGCATGAAAGATGGATATAGGTTCCCTTGCTGCCAACTTATGGTCCCTAAAGTGTGCTGCATGTTATCAGTTAGAATGTCAAGTCATGATAAATGTTAAGTATGCTAAAACATCACATGCTCACCTCTTTTACAGATCCACTCTTTGCCTCGTGAACCACAGTACACTGATCGTGATCATGACCAGATAAAACAAGTACCTAACAAGCCACAAAAATTTGTTTTATAGAGTTGCTGGAAGTGTTTTAAACATCACCACCCTTGTATATGTATATATGTACATCTATATGTGTGTGCATACATACACACACACATAGGATTGAGATAGCAAGAGGAATAGAACTCACCGGTTTGATTGAGTTCAGCAACTGGCTTGATGACTCCTCAGTGATGTAGTTTTGGTACCTGAATTATAGTATCAACTGTCAAAAACGTATAACCCTAAAAACCAAGCAACGGTTTACTACTTAAAGTAGAATCCTGTTATGGTAAAAAAAAAAAGCCAAGCAAGAAGCTTACCTTATTTCTTGATCATGAATAGAATGCAGTACCCGCTGAACATAAAAAGTGGAGATTCACATGTAAGTATAAATACTAATTTATATTAAAAATTGACCACACTAAAGTTTTGAAATTCATATAAAACATAAACAATAACAAAAGCTTCATTCTACAAAATGCTAAGTGAGACAATAAACCTGATTGATAATTGGAGAGCTACGATGTGGTCCACAATCAGTCCAATCTGGCCGGTATAAAGGAATATGGGTCAACAAAACCCTTGGATGTAATTGATGATCTAGAGAAATTTGATATTTGTGTTAAAATCAATATCAAGTCAGGTCCAAACTATTCAAAAAATAGAAATGCAAGTCAATATCATGCACCTGAGGAAACGTTGCTAACAAAATCCCAAGATGCTGAAGCAACACTACCGTGTTGATTCGCTGTAAATGATGCATATGTTAGAGTGCCTATTTCAAATATGAAGTGAGAAATAGTACTTGGACAATTACATGTCACCACATTTGCTGTGACTCATTTAAAATGAAATATGAAATAACTATATTTATTACACTTGGAGACATTAAGTGATACATTTAGGAGTCAATTATATATGTATCACATCAACTCTAGAACAGTCATAGGACAATCTACAACAGGCACACTAATGCATAAAATATGCAATATTTAACATTACATCTTGTCTTGAGAATGCTGGTCTCATTCAACTGTCTTCACAACTGGGAAGATAAAATACCTTCTCATCAAAATTACAAATCTACCGGTAACCATTTACTTCTATGTTAAAAAGAAAGAAAGGAAGGGAAAAAGAGAACAAGGAGAAGAAGAGGACGAAAGAAATCCAAGTTTTATGCTATCACAAGCCTAGTTTTAAGAACAAAAATGAAAAATTGCAATATATAGACAAGATTTAGATGCCTTCTTGTTTACCATCTAGAGTTTGAGCATCGACAGCAATGAATTCCACTTTTCCAACCACAAATCGATAGTTTCTGCTCCCAAATTCTTTTTCATACCGTCTAACCACCTGGATGGTAGTTATACTATGAGATAATCTATTTAAATAAAACAAGGACCAAAAGCATAAGGCCGTATAGCAACCATATTGTCAAAGAAGCAAGAATATAATTTGCAGGAACACGATAGACAATGAATTGTACTCAACTCAACCCAAGAAATCCCTTAGACCAACAACTTTAAGCAAGTCTTAGTAAAATTGCAGATAACAACAATGTCCTTATCATCTCATAAATAGATATAAGATATCCACACATATTTAGGAAATTCAAAGTGAATATACTACATATCCTTAATAATTTAACTCTCCAATATATGCCAGACACTTCATATTAAATGTAAAACTTAGACTTAGCCCTGTCCTAACTGTTAAGCATTTTGATTATCCATTCATTTTCGATCCCTTCCACCCTCAATTCTCTCTTTACCATTTCGCAACACTGTTCAAAACTTATGAACCACACCTGCCAACTAGATATACTTAACACCAATCCTCTATCATGTAAGCCATTATTTCTTTACCTTAAATGTGTATCACCAAAATTAGCTCTAATAGTTTAGCATTTAGATCTTCCAATAATTTTAATCTTTTTCTTACTTGGATTCTTTATTTTCCATCTCACAGTGTCATTCCATGCTTATGATGTAATTAACAATATTGGATACAACAACCCATATCTGGTTTTAGAGTAAAGCACATATTAACTATTAAGATGAGTAAATACCTCTGGCTTATGAGATTGAAGACTTGCATAACCAATGTCATGGTTTCCAGGAAGGTAGTAAACTTTTATTCTGGAATATATTTCTTCTGTACTTAGACCAAACATATGCTCAAGACGGCTTAATGATTCCTGCCATCTAATTAACTAAAGAATGTCAAGGGCTTTCTATAGTAGAAAGGTAATTAAAGAGTTTGGATACAAAACCTGTCCCTAATAAGATAAACAAAACGGTACAGAAAGAGATGAACATGTAATGGTGGAAGTACTATATAAACAGCTCATTAAATAGACATTAAGAAGTATTCACATTGATGGATATATCGAGATTCCTATAGAGAAATAAAAAGAAGTCAATTTTAATGTCAAGCATCCACCACACAACAGCATGATCAAAACAAACATTTGATCTACCAGAATTTACAGGATGTTTAATGCATTACTGTGAATTTCATTTCAAAATAACAAACTAGATGGAATACATAATATTATCTGGAAAAGCTTGACCAAACCAGAAAGTGAATATCTCCATAGCTAATTTAACTTGAAAGTAGCTAAAAAGAAGTTTCAAGTAACAACCGATGGTTCCAGGCCTTACTCTTTTTCTGATAAATAAGGTCCCCCATCAAAATAATCACCTAAAAACAAAATCACATCTGGTTTCAAAGGCAGGATTGATGAAAAAAAGGCTCTACGCATGTATAAATCTGTATAGAATTGAACAATCTCCAAAGCAAGTGATTTGGGAGGCAGATGAAGCGAGGTTTTATCCATGATCTGTTAAAGACAACAGATCTATATTAGAACGTAACATAAATGAATAACAAGACCAAGAAAAGAAGACAAGCACACCTGGGGATCAGCAAGAACAGCAACTTTGACATAATCACTGGCATATCCTCGTCCATTCATCTGAACTTGCAAAAAGAACAGCTGTTAGTTCCTATGCCAATCTGCTTACAAGCATGAGAACAAGTGCACTAAAGCATGTGTACATATCCGTGTGAGTGTTAACTGCATCAATATGTCTCTGTGTATACTTCAAGGTGTTATCATCCATAATCTGACCTTGAGAATCATTAACCCAGCTCACTATAGTAATCTAGAACTCAAAAAGCTAACATTCCTGAAAGGAGTACTCAATATCATGGTTGAAACACTAGATTCCATTGTCCTGGGTCTAACAGGCTAGCACCCGATAAGCATCATTCCAGCTTATCTAAGTAAATAACAAAAAATAAATAAAACCAGTAAACTTTTGTTTTATTGTTGCTTTTGCTACTTGCAATTTTTCTTCGAAAAGCATGATTCATACATAATAAATAATATTTTTGAAAAATAAAAAAAATTAAAAAACGAAATGCAAATAATTGTTGAAATTCATGGTTTTACTTTCAGAAAGAAGAATTATGTTTCAATGCACATTACAATTTTACAATGTATTCAAACGCTAATGAAACATAAATATACCACTTCGATTTTAATCATTTGCGTTTGGGTTTTAGCAATTTTTGAGAAAGCAAGAAGCAAATAGCAAGAGCAACAATCTACTGGAGCCTCAAGAATCAACAGCATTCAATTAGTTAATGTCACAATACTAGATTCAATATTCCAATGCTCAACATGAAATGGGTAAAAAAAGGTACTCAATCAAACACTGATTGCATTTTGCTATATGAAGTCAAACTTAAACTAATTCTAAACTCCTCCAACATGTTTTCCTTCTATTATTGAATTATTTTCAAATTTAATTCAAAAGGGTGAGAATGAGATCAAGTCAAATAGATAAAAGGAAAAAAAATTGAAAGAAGACAGTACTGAAAAGGGACAAATTAGAGAGTTACCGAGGAATTGGAAGTAGAAGAGGAGGAAAGGTGAGGCCAAGAGCAAGAGAAGCGAGACGGCATCAAAAATGAGAACATCTCGCCGTAAAGGATGGTCGCCGTCCATATCAAGCATAGTACCAGCGTCAACTTCTCGTGCTCCTTCATTTTCTCTTACCTTTTGCTCGATCAACTTACTTAAACTCTTTGGCTTCGACCCACAGCGGAATCAGCCGAAATGAGGCTTCCGATTGGTGGCGTCGGAGAGCGACAGACTCGCCCACGAGAGCCCGTGCTGCAACCCACCACCTGTCTCCGGGAAGAAATTATCACGGTATTATTTCGTTTTAGGAAATATTTCCTTTTAAGTCACTGTGTTGATATGTCTAATTCTTTATTCATTTTTTAAAAATAAAAAATGTAAATATCATAATTTTACTTGTACAAACAATTTTTTATCTAATACTTTTTAGAACTTAATTATTCTGGATAAATAAAAAAATTAATTATATTTCATGAAGTAACTTCAATAAAAAAAAATTAATATTTTAAAAACTTTTATTTTTCTATTTTTAGGACAACAGTTTTGTAAATTTAATATTTACAAATTCCAAAAAATTTCTTTATTTTGGAGGTTATATTTTTTTATAAATTTTTTAATCAATTATAAGTTTGAATTTTGTTGAAAGCTTACATGATTTGTAATATGCTTTTACTAAAATTTTATTCTTGATTTTTTTAAGTTAGAATATCATTTCATTCAATCAAGGGAAGCTCCCTAGATAAGAATGAGTGAGATTTTGAGCCAATATTTTTCATTGGGGAACATATTGGCACAAGCCTTCACTCCTAGTTAGTAAAAAACTAAAAAAAGCCCGACTTTGTTATTCTACATCCAAAGCATAACTTGACCTATGAATGAATACAAAAATCACTTTAAAAAACAAAAATATAAAAACACCTTGCACATATATCTATAATTTAATATAAAAGGACACCTCAAAAGAGTTCCCAAACAATGCCACATGTACACATGAGGAGATACAAATGGGGCTTTGTTTATGATGTGTTGGAGGTGCCTTATGTTGGCTAGACTGCATGTTATGGGGGATAAGGGTTAACACACCCCTAGGTTCCCTTGGGTTGCCTAAGGGTTTTGTGCCCTTTTTTCTCCCGAGCTGTTTTTCTCTTGAGGGTTTTGCCACCCCTAAGCCATCTTGGTCTAGTTGATGGTTTTCTTACTTTTGGTGTTCTCTTTTGTTATTTTCTCTTTTATGCTGGGTTTGGGAGTGGTTAATCGATTGCCATTTTTGTTCATGTCGCTTCTCTCCTTGACTTTTTCAAAGTTGATCTCGAGTCTGGTTAAAAGGTGACATGGATGAATTTTTTTTCATTTTTCTTAGTGGGTTCGTGTCAGACACTTTTGGGTTTTTCAAATCTTGTGCTCACCGTCTGATTGCATGTAGTCAACTAACATGTCTAGCTTGAGATTTCTTCCATGTCTAAGCTATTCGACACTGTCCCCTGCCTCTCTATGCTTAACCAACTTCCGTCATTCCTTGCTATATTTTGGATTTTCTTTTTATTATTCTTGTTTTTCTTCTATTTGGGTTTTTTTTTTATGTTGTTGTTGCATCTATTCATTTCTTAATTTTTTTCTCTGTTGACTTCACTTCTTAAGGTTTTTAGGTTTCAAGTTTAAAGAACTTTGATCAAGAGATTATCTTCTTCTAACTCTTTTTCTAAAGGTTGTCCATATAGTTCTTCTAACTTCTCCCATATTTCTTTGGCACTCAATGCAACTTTGAATTTGATAGTATTGTCTTTCTCTAACTCCATTATAAGCGAGGTGCATTGTTTTGGCATTGAGTTTAATCAAATCAAAATCATTTGAGTTATAATTTGCCATGTCCTTCGCTATCTTACTTGGACCATTCTCAGTTTGCTTTCAAGCTTTATAATCTTTAACAATGATGAAAGTACTTCATTCAATATCTCCAAATAAATAAATTTTCACAATTAAAAAACAGAGACTCTAGAAGCGATAGTTCTTTTTCAATGGTTGGCTTATGAGAGTTGGTTGTCATACTTTGGATCTTGTAATCATCCAAGTGTCATGAGACAAAAATTTGCAATTTTATCATCTTCCTTATCTTGTGAGTCATCACTATTACTCCAAGTGATCTTCAATGCCTTTTTCATGAGATTTATTGAAGTGTTCTTGTTGTTGTAGCATTCATAATTTGTATGGCTCGATTTCTTGCATCTATAGCATATCAAGTGATCTCTTGTATGCTCTTTCTTAGACACGTCCCTCATTATAGGTTTTCTAGCTCTAAGTTTTGCTTCTTGAAACTATTAAATTGTCTAGCTAACATTGACATGTCCTTTTCTTTTTCACTTTCACTCTCTTAGCTTCTTTATTTTTCCTCTACTACCGATTTAAAGGCTTTTTCCTTTTACTTAATGTTCTTCTTCTTAAACTCTTTTAACTCACGATCATATTTTTATGTCATCTCGTAGGTAAAAAAGGATCCTAAAAGTTCTTTTAGCTTGAAATCATTAAGATTTTTAGCTTCTTCTATTGCGGTAACCTTAGATCTCCAAGATTTTGGTAAGCTATAAAGAATTTTCTTTCACAAGTTGAGTATTTGGAAATTCTTTTCCTAAAACCTTTGGACCTCTTACAATGTTGGTGAATCTTTCAAACATCTCATTAATTGACTTGCCCTTTCTCATCCTAAAAAGCTCATGATCATGAGTAAGCAATTCAATCTTAAATTCCTTAACTCGATTTGTGCACTCATATATGGTCTTTAAAATATCCCATATTTGCTTAGTATTTTGACACATAAAGATTTTGTTAAATTCAATAGCACTTAAAGCACAAAGTAGAGTATTATAAGCTTTGTAATTAATTTGAATTAATTTCTTGTTTCCATCATTTCATTTTATCTTAATCTTATTAATTAATTTTCCATCTACCTCCTTATATGCAACAAGTGGATCATCTAATATGATATTTCAAATATCTAGATTTATAGATTTTATAAACATTTCAATACACGTTTTTCAATAGAGGTAATCAATATCTACAAAAAAGGTGAACTTTGGATTGATTGCCCTTCACTAAGGACGATTGCCATAATCTCCATTTTTGATTATTTGAGCTATTACAATATATCACTCAAGGTTGTTAAACTTGTAAAATTAAGTCCTGTTATGATATCAATTATTAGTATAATAAGCTCAATGTAATAAATACCAAGAAGAAGTAAATTGGTATTTTAAAAATTTTCTTTACAAGCTCAATGAAGAATAATCCTTTTTTGAAAAACAAATTTTCTTCTTGTGTCAAAAGCAAAGTAAGTGATTTTTCTTTAAAACAAATATCAATAATAAATCACAAAGTATAAAAATAAATTAAAACGCAAGGAGTTTATAGTGGTTCGACTTTTTTAAATACTTACATCCACTCCCTTGGTTCACCAAAGAAGTTCTAACGTACTAACAACGGTCTTACTTTTTAACAGGATCAAGTGATAATCCTTATATTAGCTTTTTAACAAGATCAAATGATAACTCTTATAACAACTTTTTTATGAGATCAATAATAACTCTTACACTTACTTTTTAACGAAATCAAGCAATAACTCACATACTAACTTTTTAAAATTAAGTTAAAATTTTTATAAAATGTACAAAAGAGTAATAGTAAAGATTTACCTTACAAAAACTGAGTACTAAAAGTTTAAGGTTGGCTGTACAAAGAGAAAAAATAATCTTACAAATATCAACTCAAGGATTTAGAAGTAAATGAGCTTGAATGGTTTTGAATGCTTGTTGGAAGACTAAAGTGAATTCTAGAGAAGCATAAAGAGGTAAAAGTTTTCTCTTTAGGATTTTCAAATGTAGTGTTGGTCTTTATTTTTTTTACTTCAAAATGAGTTAAGGGCAGCTTTTAATAGTCTCAAAGATGTTTGGAGCTGTTAAACACAAATTTGAATCAAATTTAACCGTTTATGTGCTTGTAGGGTCAATTACCACTCTCTTAAGGTTTACTATAGTTCCTCAAATTTTTGAATTAAGGCTTTACTTAACTTTTGAGAGCTTTTACTCGATCCGCTTTCAGAAGTTTGTGATTTTCGAAGGTTGACTGAGTGTAGGGTTTAGGTTTATTTTGTAAATTCATTCTCCATACTTTATGTGTAAATACATATTTAAATAAGATCTTCTTACTCTTTGTACATATTTTCTTTCATAATTATTCTTTCAAACTATATTTGATAATAATTTAATTATTTTTTAATTATTAACTATTCAAAAATGATCAAAAGTATCTCAAAAACATCTCAAAGAGAAATTAACTGTATCACTCATTTTAATAAATCTCATTACTTTTTGTATAAAATTATGTTAATGTAAAACAACTCAATAATAATATAATCATATTTATAAAATTAATAATTATGATCATATAATTATAAGATTAGCCATTTATTAATATTGGATTTATGTGATTTTACCTCACAAAATCATGATTATGATTGTATAATATTTAATGTTTGTTTGATCCGACTTTTTTTTAATTTATTTATCTTTTAAAAGTAGAAATTAAGTCAAATAAAGTTTTAAAAAACTCTTAAAAAATAATTTTTATTTTAAAAAAAACTAAAAAAATAACTTAAAGAAAAACTTTAAAGAAAATTTTTCTTTTTGCTTCAAAAATATCTTCATCTATTAAAAATAATCTCAACATTAATCTCTAAAAAAGTCCTTATCTATAAACTTTATATTGTATAAAACTATTTTTTATATTTCAAAAAAATATTTTTTATATTTCAAAAAATTTATTTTAAATAAATAAAAAAGAAAAAAATAAAATTAACTTTTTTTATTGTGGTAATAAAAAGTTATTAAATACATCTTATAAAAAAAGTCTTGTAAAAATAACTTAGTTTAATATTAAAGTTATTTCTAATATACAAGATTTATGACTAAAAGAATGCTAGCACACTCAGTGCGTGGGTGAGTCTTGCTGTTTTCTCTTTAATGGAAAATCTTGCCGCTTGTGAGTTTTTGAGTTTTGAATAAAGCAGCTTACAACGTTCCGGAACGTGTGGAGGTGTTTTAGGCATTCATTGGATTCGCCACTGCTGCCTATGTACTGATGTTACACCAAAATCCTGCAGTTCAATTGTTCCAAAGTTGACAAGTTTATGGAAGACATAACCAACCTGTTCGACACTGTCTTGTAAAAGGTACTCCTCGATTCCTTTCTAATGTTCCCTTTTCTTTCGGTTCATGTTATCTTTTTTCTTGTGTATCTCTGGAAGTTTCTGATCTTGTTGATTCACGTGAAATGTGGTCAGTTTGGATTGAAACCCATATGACTTTGACTATTTATTTGGAGAAATAAGCAATGATTCATTTGCAGAAAAACAAAGATTCTATGAAATAAACCTGGAACACGTGCTGGCACCATGAACGCGTGGTTGTAGAAGAAACTTCTAATTGTCTAGTTGTGTATTTCCACTAACCAAATTCAAAAGTGTTTATGGAGTTCCATTGTCTCTATCTTTTGTTTTGCCTTTCCTGTTGCACTTCACATGTTTGATATATTGTAGTAGTAATAAAAAAGAAAAGGCCATTTCCCGCGCACATTAAAGTTTTTAAGCATATTTTTCAACTCCATTTTCAATCACAAGAATGGGATTTTTCAGTCAAAAGAGAACTATCCATATCTCTTTGTTTCACTGGCAGTTCAAGGTAGATCAACTTTGATAGAGATTGGGTTATGGAAAATCCCCTGTGCGCCTAAATTGATTCTTTAAAATCCATGTCAAATATGGGTTTACAAATTCCAAATTATCTTAGCAGCTGTATTAGTCTGTTTTCTAACTGTTTTGATCTGTTTTTCCACTAATTACTACATTTTCTGCTTGATGTCTTTTGTTTCTTTTTATTTGGAGCTGGCTGGAACATGATCAACTTTTTATTTCGAGCTGTTTTGACCTGTCTTTGGACCTATACTGTCTGACCAAGAGCAACAACACTTTTCCCTTAAAATTTATTTCCTCTAATAACTAGTATAACTCTCGTTTTTTTACCATTAATTTAGTTGGAATGTAAGCTGCAAAAGTGTTTGCTCAGTAGAAAATTTTAGTTTAGGAAGGGCAGAAGAAAATCGTCTGCACAACTTTCTGTCCGAGAAGTAAAATATGATAGGCTATGTTACATGTGCTCTTCGCTTTATTTTAATGTATCCATGTCACAACACTTGTTAGACATTTTGAATTCTTTTAGGTATATATGACATATAGATCCTGCAAATTAATGTAAAAATTTGCCAAAATAAACATGACATGCTCATGTCTTTCACCATATCTTGAGTCCATGTAGGATAGGTGATAGCTGAATTTAATTTAAATTAATGATTAATGAGATTGTAAAGTATGTATGTGAATATGCATTTATGTGTGTACACATGCTTATATGTCAAATTATGGAGATGTGAAATTAATAATGTTACCAACCTCATTATATCTTTTTATAGTGATCCTTCCATCATATATAATGCACAAGGATCCTCTTAATTACATGATACCTGGGCTTGGCTCAATTGACAAGTAACTATATATATGGTGGGATTGTGCTGTTAAGTTTTAGCTTAACTTTTTCTGAGGTGACAAAAAAAGAAAAAAAAAGAAGAAGGAAAATTAAGAGATAAACTTATTGATCGAAAAAAGGGAAAATGTTATGGGGCCTCTAGAAAGGTTTTTAACTTTCAGCAGCATGACATTTTTAGTCCAAATGTTGTTAATTTTCAATTTGAATTCTTTTTTTACTCCAAATCTTTTTTTTTTTTTTGAATTCTTAAGTTTGGTTTAAATGAATTGCCTGACATTTCTGAGATTATTTAGTGTTCATTACATGTTTCCTTAAACAAAGGTTTTGAATTAAACCTTATTGCTTATATATATACGGATCTTGTTTCAGGAATTTGTCTGAGTGTTGATTGTGATGAAGACATATTTGAGATTTAGATGATTCAAAATAAGCAAAAGTGCAGCTCCTCGTAAATTCTTTGCAGCTAGGAAACATAGAATTTGCAATGTCACAACTCAGGACGTAGCAGATATTTGTAAGTGTCAGTTGTACTACATTTTATGAGAGATAATAATGATGCAGATACATTCCTTATGAGTTCATGTTTCTTATATTACTTCTTGTACCATCATTTAACTTAATAATTTTGCTTGTTTCACTGCAGAAGTTAGGACTAAAATTTTAAATGAATGAAAATCCTTGACATTTATGTTGTGGCAGGTATTATTATACAAGGTTAAACATTTCAGTCGCCTTTGTAGTTTAACCTTGTTCCTGATAAACAAAAGATAAATACAAGTATAATTTCTGGCATTGTGTTTTAACCACTCCTAAAAATCATATATGATGGTCTAATACAGGCAACAGTTGTATTTGACTTTTGTCTGGTAGATATTGAAAGTGAGTGACATTACAATAGTAAATTCACTTGAAGGCAAAGTTTTAACAACTTAAATTCAGTGACCAAAACTAGGTGGTATTTGCATTATAGATGCCGAAGCTAGGAAATTTTTTTTTAATGTACAAGCACTGGTTTCTCAGCAGACCTATCTGACAAAATGTTACAGCCGCAACCTTACAACAATAGTCCCTACTTAAATGTGATTTCTTCTTTTGTACAGCTGAAGAAGTGTGATTGAGTAAATTTCATTTACATGGGTAAAATAAAATGAAGGTAATAAACTCAGACATTTTGTGCAAGTGTACGTATCTGTTTCTTAAGAAGTGCTGAAGGGCACTTTTCACTAATCCTTATTTTGGTTGCTGATGGTTGTTCCTACATTCTTCAGCCAATCAACAATTTCCTTGATAGTTGGCCTCTTGAAAGGATTTTGGTTGATGCACAGACAGGCCACATCCAGCACCTGCAGCATCTCTTCATAAGAACCCTTTTCTTTTAGGAGAGGATCGAATACTTCATCTTGCTTTCCCTCGCTCCTCATTTTCTGCACCCAGGCAACTAATTCTCTTGCTGTTTTTGGCCTAGACATATCCACAGGTCTTTTACCAGTGAGTAGCTCAAGCATGACAACCCCAAAACTGTACACATCCCCCCTCAAAGTGGCTACCCATGCTTGCCCATACTCTGGAGGAATATAACCCAAGGTACCAACAAGCTCAGTTGTAACATGAGTGTGATAAGGAAGAATCAATCGTGACAATCCAAAATCTGCAACATGTGCCTCAAACTTGTCATCAAGAAGGATGTTGCTTGACTTGATGTCTCGGTGAACAATGTGTGGCTCACATATCTGATGCATGTAAGCCAGGCCAATACTTGCTCCCCTAGCAATCTTTAGTCGAGTTGGCCAATCTAATTGGGATGGACCATCTGCTTTCTCATGTAACCAGTAGTCCAGACTTCCATTCTCCATGTAGGAATATATTAGTAGCCGAAATCCTTCATGGCACAATAGCCTTGCAGGGACACCAAGTTTTCATGTTGAGCTGTTGATAGAGCCTCTACCTCGGCTTTGAATTCCCTTTCCATCAGGCCAAAATCTCCTGAGAGCTTCTTAACTGCCAGTTTGGTCCCATCTGCTAATATTGCTTTGTAAACCAACCCAAAACCCCCACAGCCAATGATGTTTTCTTGATTGAAATTATCAGTGGCTTTCAACAGTTCAAATATGGTGAGATCCTTGACTTCATTGGTTTTGTTTGGGAACAACATAACGAGGCTAGCATCCTTGTCAGTCCGTGGAGGAACTCCAGAAAAAGAGTTGCCGGAAAATGTATCTAGTTCAATCTTATCAGTATCTCCCCCTGGAATAATCCTTCTCTTGGACAATATCCACAATGCTAGCAAAGTAATAACCAAACCAGTGCCAAAACAGATGCCAACGACAAGCACAATGATAAGTTTTGTGTTTAAGCTTTTTGGAGTGGTGGTAGAATGAGCTATTCCCGCTGCATTGGGGCAACTGCGCTGCAAAATTGAACCACACAAACCTGGATTCCCTTCAAAACTGGAGCTGGTAAAAGTATCAAACTGACCTCCAGATGGTATTGGTCCTTGAAGATCGTTATATGCCACACTGAATGAAGACAAAAAGTGAAGGCCTCTTAATGATGCAGGAATTTGGCCAGAAAGCCGGTTGTCAGAGAGATCCAATTTTTCCAAGTTTGTGAGATTTGATACTTGATCTGGAATGCTGCCAGAGAAGTCATTCTGACTGAGATCTAACTCATGAAGAAATTTCAATTGACCAATCGCCTCAGGGATGTTGCCACTGAGGTTGTTGTTTCTCAGATAGATAGCTGGTGGAAGGCTAGAGAGTTGGTTATACAGCTGCTGACTGGTAGCATTATAAGGCAAGACAAACACAGGCAGCTCCAGGTAACTTCTATCTACTTCATCATTAGACTCTTGCGTTGCCAATGCCCATAAGCTTGTGAGCTCCTTGGGAAATTCTCCTGAAATTAAGTTATCAGACAAGTCTATGTAGAAAAGGTTTCTTAGGCTGCCGAACCAACTGGGAATTAAACCAGTGATCCTATTTTGGGACAGGTCCAGCACCTCTAGATTCTTCAGATTGGCTAGCCAGTTGGGGACTTGACCAGTGAAGTTGCAACCTCCTAGGCCCAAAATCTGGAGATTTAAAGCCCTCTTCTCCTACTATATTTTCATCATTGGGTATTGCTTCATTCATGAAGTTCTTAGAGAGAATAGAGTAGTAAGGTTCTTGCAGCCCATCAAAATACTTATTGCCCCAGTAAAATTGGTTAGATTATTAGTGGAAATTGAAAGGAATGATAAAGATTGCAGTGCAAGTATGGCGGGGATATCTGTCCCTCTAGCTGGTTACTAGCCAGTCTCACTGCAGTTAGTGACTTGCAAGAATAAAGGCTTAAAGGCAAGGTACCTGTAAAGTTATTGTTGCCAAGGTCAAGAGTGTTTAGGCGTAGGAGAGTGGAGAAATTAAAGGCGGAGAGGTCTCCTTCCAGCCGGTTGACCCGCAAATTTAAAGTGATGAGACTGGTGCAATTCATGAGAGATGGTGGCAGAGAACCAGTGAAGTTGTTGACGTGAAGGAGCAGGCGTTCCAACTTGGAAAGCTGACCGATGTCTTTTGGAATGGGCCCCCCAAATTCATTAGAAGAGAGCTCAAGGATGGTGAGTTGGGTTAGTTGGACAATGGCGCTTTTGATTCGCCCGGAAAGGTGATTTAGCGGTAAAGACAGTTGTTGAAGTGAGGTAACCGTGTAAACATCATCAGGGAGTGTGCCAGAGAGATTATTATAACCCGCACGAAAATCTGCAGCTTGGAACACTTTCCAAGTCCAAGGCGAATTTCACCATTAAGTTTGTTGTAGGATAAATCCAAGAGGGTGAGGGAAGTGTTGAGACAGATCGAGGAAGGAACCTGGCCCGTAAGGGTATTGTTGCTCACATTGAAAATAGTCAAATTCCGGGCTGCCTGAAGAAATGAATTCGATTGGATGGTCCCAGAGAAGCGGTTGCTGGACAAATCCAACGCCTCGATGGGGCTGAGATTGTTATTATTATCTGAAAAGAAATCCAGAGGCAGTTGGCCATTGAGACTGTTGAAGCTCAGATCAAGAACTTTGAGCTGATTCAGGGAGGAAAAGAACCCAGCAGGGAGAGAGCCGCTGATCCGATTGCGAGAGAGATTAAGGTGAGTTAAACGAGTGAGGTTTACAAGAGACGGTGACAGATGACCGCTTAGGCCTCTAGAGGGTAGCCAAAGCTGGGTGACCCGAGCATCATCTGAAGAAGTATCACAATCTATTCCTTCCCAAGAGCAGCAGTCCTTAGAAGTAGACCAATTCAAGGGAGATGATGGTGACAACGTTAAGTTGGAGTAAAACGCGAACAGAGAGTCATGATCGTCTTGGTTGCAGGCAGCTGAGAAAGGAGAGACGAAGAAGAAAGACGGTAAAAGTAATAAAAGGAGACGCAAGAGCAAGTGAAGCATGGAAAATGTTGTTGCTGATGGTCCAGTCTAGAATTTGAAGCATCCAGACCGGTCTCTTTGTCATCTATCATCATCGGAACAAAGTAAGAAGCAGAACAACAAGACACGAGGAAGAGAAAAAGTTGGCTAAGTACATCATTATCTGGTCTTGGTTAGCTTGTACAGGATGGAAATTGCAGTAAACATCCCATTGACCTTCAAGAAGGAAAGCCAGAGAGAGAAAGAGAGAGAGTGCGTGCGTGCGTGAGTGACGTTTAGCCGTTTATATTATAATGGTCAATTAACAAAAAGATCAAAAGAACAAAAAAGAAGGCAAAGGCTTGTTGGTGGGATTATTGGATATGATGAAAAATAAGAATTCCCAGGAGCGTTTACTTTTGGGGCGGCTGGTAGTGGATGGTGGTGGTGGACTTTTTCTAAGATGATGATTGATTGATTGATGACCAAAGCTCAAAGAGTGTGGATACAAATACAAAGCTGAGAGAAACCTAAAAGCTCCCATCCCTGAAGCATAAACAGGTTCTCCTCTTTGCCTTCACCGTTTGTCCAATTTGATTTTTTTATTTTCTGGGGTTGTGGTTGACTGCCTGAGCTGAGTGCCTGTGGCTATCTACATCTGTTGTTTGAGAGTGGTGCTGCTGGCCTTGCTTTGTCATGATAACCAAGTTCTTCATGTCTCTTTAAATTTTAATTGCTAATATTGCTATCCTTCAACCAGCACCTTTCTTTTTTTTTTCCCCTTTTTTGTTATTTATTCACACCATATCATCATATCAATATATTTTAACAATAAATAAGAGGAATAATCAGCAAGGATGATCCCAACCCTTTATTTCTTATTATTATCTCTCGCTCTCCAACTTAATCCAACTGGACAGACTCATCTTCAAAGAAGTCACCCATTCTTAGCATTTAGAAACTATCTATTTTCCTAGAAAACAAAACTTAATTTTAGTTTTTTTTCCAGACCCAGTTGCCAAATTTCTTTCTTAAATAGTTTGGTTTGAGAAAAGATATTTGACCGTCAATATGTCTAGACTTTGGACTTTAAAAAACAACAGATGAGGCCTCCCATAACAGCTTTGCCAACCAGTTCTTGACTTATTTGTAGCTGAGTTGCCCACTTGCCACACAATAGTCCAAGCCTCCATATGTGCATTAGTTTTGTTTTGTTTTCATTTTTAAATAGAAGGTGGCAGACAGGGTATCTAGGTGTCTTACATTGGTAGATTTAGAGCGGATAAACCCCTGCCAAATTTTGTGGATTGCAGCTCCAATTAAACAGGTTTCTCAGTCGTGGTTAATTGCAATCTTTGACACAATCCAATTGCTCCAGCCGTCATCATCACCCTGCCTTCTTTATTAGCCATGGTGATTAGGTTTTGGCACTCAACTTTCAGTGGTTCAACAATTGGTCAACACTCAAAAGCAAGCAGAAGCAAATCTTAGAGCAATACACCTCTAAATAAACCCAAACTGGAAATTATCTTAATTATGCTGATTCTATCTCTAATTTATGAAGAATAAAGATTGCTGCTTTTATGTACTCTAGCCGTCAAAGCAAGGATGCAATGCAAATTGGTTGATTCAAATGAAGATAGCTGATTCCTCTTTGTTATTTCAATTCCTTAAGATTCTTGCAGAACCCTTGGATTCAAGCAGTGCCAATTCTCAGAAGGAAGATTGCAGTGAGGGAGGATATCCTTTTGGCAATCCTAATTCCCTAAAGTTGAACGGAGACAAATGATCACACAAACATTACTGATGATGGGCTTAGCTGGAAATCCATGAAGGCGTTGAAACCTTATTTTCACCACAAATTTTATTTTGAAAATGACAACCCATTAAGCTGCAGTAATGCTCTACAGTGTTGGACAACCTTATCTTAAGTACCTCACCCATTCATTCATTCCTCCACGCTTCCGCATGTGCTTCTACAGCCTTTATTTGAACCCTGTTTGCTGCATCCATTCTTGACAAGAGGCAGCTCCATGTCAAACTCTTCTCTTCTTCTGGGAAACAACAACAAAGGGGAATTTATTAGAGAAGGGGACAGTTTGAGACTCAACTCTGAATTTATCACTTGGATTTTGCCATATGCAGCTGATATATATGCTGCTTTCTAGTAGCATGAAAGTGAGCAAATTTGGCTTAGGGAAGACATTTCAATGGTTTCCAATTAATTTTTAATTGCAAGTTTTAATTTATATAATTATTTAACATTGCTTTTACAATCAAATTCAACAACTCTATATCACATAAGACCTAAAATATTAATTTATTAATCAGATTACGTAACTAATCCATGTATTCTATAAAAATTATGAATTTAAATCTCTATATAATAATTTGTGTAAATTGAGTCATTGTATTTTTTTAATGTGTTAATTTTAATCCAAACTCTAACACTGTTAAATTTTTACAATTAAATATGATGTCATGATATTTTGATCAAGTAGACATGACATTGATTAAGATAATGTGACATTTTTTTTTTGTTGATGTAATGTTGATTATATATTGACAAGACAGATTATGTTGGCATGACATTAATTGGACTAATAATAAGTTTATGCTGATATAACACTTTAATGACTCGATGAAATGTTGACGTGCTAATTGCTTATATGACTACCAATTTACAAATCATTTCAAATTTTAATCCAAAACATCTTAATCTTAAAATAATTATAATTAACAAAATAGATTAAGAGAAAAAGAAAAAAAAAAGATTAACGTTCAAATCAAAAAAGGAAGAATCGTGTTTGGTTTTGAATCGAGAATTAAAAATAGGGAAAAATATCGGTGAGAATTAACAAGTGCTATGTCAACATAAATCTATTGCAAATTCAATTAACGCCACATTAGCATGATCAATATTATGTTAGCACATAATCAATGCCACATCAATAAAAAAATACCACATCATCTAAATCAAAACCATGTTGACTTGATCAAAATGCCATATTAACATATTTAATGGTGGAGGTTCAGACCGAAATTAACAAAAAAATTATAATACAAAAAATTAAATTCATATATTTTTTAAAGTATAAAAACTAATCTCATAATTTAACCTAATATATTCATATAAACTCTCAGACAGGCCCGTTTAGATTGTCCAACACAAACTAGTCCCAATCCCATAGGAGAAGCCCACCAAAATCCCCCAAATCCATATGCCTACTTCCCACCATCCCTTACGTGAAGGCGAAAAGACAAACTTCAAGGGCAGCCAAAGCTCCTTTTATCCGAAGATGGAGGTGAGGTAATTAATTCCTTTTTTTT